GGGTTTTGTCCTTACAGATGGTCTGAAAAGCAACTCCTCTTGGTCCAGGTACTCCTTCTTTTATTTTCGTTACTTGTGAAAGTCACATTTTTATCACAATGCATGCAGGCGTTCCAAAGGCTAAATTATATTTTATAAGTGTACTCACTCGTATACAGTACTAGAATGACTTGCCAAAGACCACAGAGGGGGTTTGGGGCAGAAAAAGAACAGAATGTGCATTTCCTTCAACCTTGCCCAGTCCTTCAACCACCAGCTCAGCCTTCTGTTTCACTGCTACTGTCATCACCACGACTCACAAGTTGTCCAATCTGCAGTCAAGCTTGAATGTTTTAGTAATTAGAGCCGGCTAAGTTTTCTTTGTGAAAGAAAAACTTGAAGTATTGAAATAAACTTGTGAAAAAGTGGTTTTGATAAACTGTGAACACCACTTGCATTCATTAATTATTGCTAATTATGCAACTGAACCTTCTGAGAAAGAAAGCCAAGTGTTGGACATTTTTAATACATACAACCTTTCTATAACATACTACATCCTGCAATGTGTTCTCTGTTATGGAAAACTGGTCTCAGAAGAAAATGAAAATTCCCCATCTAGAATGACACATAAAATAAGTGGAGAAAACAAATTGCTGATATTGGGGAAAGGCATCCTGTGAGTAGATGATTTCACCCATTTTTCATGGGTAAAAACTGATAAACTATTTTAGATATTAGGAAATTTTAAAATATTGTGATGCTCTGTAAGGAATTCTAAGCAAAAACCAAAATGACAATATTTAATATATGATTTAATAATGACAATGTTTAATAAATAATTCCATAAAACTAATTTGCACTTCTCAAGGATTTAACTTCATTCTTCTCTTTTAGCTAGATCGAAACAAATGAAACCATTCAATTCAGTTTATGCTGAAGAAATCTCTTTAATATTCATTACTTTGGAGCTTCTGCAGTGAACAGAAGCATTTTTGTCCTGTATTTTAAACATCTAACATGGTTTTCCTAAAAGAACAATTTTTTTAATTTTTTTTTTTTTTTTTTTTTTTTTTTTTTTTTTTTTTTTTTGTATCTTAGAATTGCTATATTTTAAGGGATTTTTGCTTATCACTAAAGCTTACTTCACTTGTTGGCACTTTTCTTCCCACTGGAAGACTTTGAAATACATATTTATGCAGTTCACAGTTTCTTGTGTTTCAACTGTCACTAAGGTCTCCTTACACAAGTGCAGAAATATGCAACAATATGAGAAATAATGGCAAGAAAACACTTAGACAAACATTTCTAATGCTGCAAGAGAGTTTGATCTGGCATGAGAGATCTGGCATAAAGGTTCAAGCCATGTGGTGAAAATGGGTTCCTTATTATTTTTTTTCTAAACTCTCTTCCCTTCTTCTCAGTGATGCCATGAAACAAAATCTACTACCAACCTGAAATATTGTGCCACTGTGTCACTGAATTTATGTACACCTGGACCTGTGGGAACTATGAAAGAAGCCACTCCTACTTTGTGAAACCAAACTTCCTTAATATTTTAAATAATGATGCAACTAAGGTAACTAGTTTTAAAAATAATTTCACATTTTTTTCAGTTTACTAAAAATGTTTCTTGGACTTCTGGCCAAGATAGATCTGTTTGATATTTTTTGAAGTGTCTGCAAGTTACAGTAGTTTTTCACATCCTCACTGAAAGCTCAGTTCTAGGGAGACAAAAAGTGACACTTTACTGAATGGCAAGACAGATAAGACTGCCTTTGCAGTTTTCATTTGGGGGAAAAAAATCAAGATTACTCACTTTCATCAGCTGTGACAAATAGAGTTTGGGTATGAATTTTAGCTGCATGTTGCCTGCTTGCAGCTAGTGCAGAGGCTGCCTGGCACTAAGTGAAATGACTTTCTATCTGCTCTTATCTCCTTCCCAACTTTCTAGAACAAATCCAAGCAAAGTATCTTAAAGCTGCTTAATTTTATCTGCCTGATGAAAAAGAACCAGTATTGAAAGTATTGAAAGTTAGAAATACTTGAAAAAGTGGGTTAGGAGCAACTATCCTATGCTTTTCATTCACTGTCCTTTATTTCATCCCAGATGCTAACAGTACTTTTGTGAATGGGCTTAAGCATATGTCAGCAAGTCAGAATAGTGTGAACAGGAAATTTATTAACAAATCTGAACTGAAAATTTTGAGGCATACCTCTGTTGCACTATATCCTGGGAAAGCACTTCAGCAGTGCACAAACCTCCTTAGATCTGAGACACAGTTCTGCATAGGGTTCTGCTACCTTCCATGTCCTCATTCACTGTATAGATCACAGCTATTGCATTACATTCTTTCTTCTTCTTGAAGAAGATAATGAGCTTCCCCATGGTAAAATACACAGATGTGAAGGATCAGACAAAATGGTAGATGGATGAATGAAGACCTAGAGTCTATAATGAAACAGCTTACATACATATATATAAAATATCCATGTGTCATTAACCAAAAAGCAAACTACAGTGACTTTTTTTGTGATTTTACCACTGTATTATACTCTATTCCTCTTTTTGCAAAAACCTATTCTAAAAAGAAATTATTTTCCAAGAATTGATACAAGCATCTAGACAGCTAGACACTCAGAGAAGTACAGTACTGACTCCAGCAGGATTTGTGTGCATAAACACTGTTGTGGAGTGAAGATGTAGCATTTAGCACTGGAATGGTTAAGGATATACTAGGAATGTCTTGCAGTTGAAGCTGCCTAAATATGTTTGAATTATTAGTGGGTTAGCACAGAAAGCAGGAGGGGTTACTAAAGCATTTCTTACCCTGTTCGAGTTGTTTATCAAGTTCAGCCAAAGTTAAATGTTATGCTCAATGCACTTCAAGTTTTATAGGTGGTATGGGGATAGATACATGTAGAGCTCTGCTACTTTCTGCTTGTATTCAGCAATTGCTAGCCTCCTTTTCGTTCATTATCTAAAGCTGGTCTCCATGGGTCCCAACTATTTGGGACACATACATTTAGCAACACCCCTATGTTAATATGGTTCTCCAGAGATCACAGCTGGGACACAGCGTTTCTGTAGCTGCTTATGATTAGATTAAGACTGTTCTCTTTCCAACCTTTACTTCTTATGTCACTGTAGAATCATGAAGCCTGCTTTTGCAACTTGTGCCCACTTAAATTCTGGAAACATCTCAAAGAGATTATGGTTTCTTGTAGTTTTCTTCTTTTTTTGTATGTGTTGTTTGTTTTAATTTGGATTTTAATATTTAATTTTAATTTGTTCTGATGTCATTTAAATCATTTTACTGTAAAAATTTTAAATCACTCTTATTCCTGGGGGAATTTCAAAACAATATATCTGCATCCCCCTTTTCTTGTTTTCTTATTGTGAGAAAGTATGTTCATCACTGCATTCAGATTAGAGGGTACCATTTGCTTAAAGCTGCCATCCAAGTTCCTTGCATGACAACTATTTAACCCACTCAAGATGAAATCTGCTCTGCAACTGTAAACTTAATAAGTACTGCATATGTTTAAATCACTTTATTTTAATTGAAAAAAAGAATAAGGCATACCAGTGAACATCTTTGCCATTGGTTAAAAAAGGGTGCGCTACCTGAGGAGTCTGTAGTGGAAGACTGATTTTCTGCCCTGGCAGACATTGCTTGATTTCAAAAAGGATGCCTGATGCCTGAAAGCAAGCTTCCCATTGGAGTCCAGAAAATCTCAGATACCCTTCGCAGGAGAGAACCTCTTGTGAGTTTTGGTTCTTGACTTGCTGTGTGGAGATTTGACCCTCCTGTCCAACATGCATAGTTGTTCATGAATGAACAGTCTTTCCAATTAATCATATTCCTCTGCTTGTGTAAGTGGTACACTATTTTCTCTCTGTTTAGCTCTTTCTGGTTCCTTTTTATAGTATTCCTCATGGCTGACCCCAAAAGGCTTGTCTTGTGATTGGTGTAGTGCAACCAGTTTTCTGTCTCCTGGTTAGACAGAGTACACCTAAATATCTGTAAAGGTGTACGCATGTTGTGTACTGTGTGAAGAAATATACTGAGTGCTTTCACATGAGGGGTCACCTATGCACTCTGTTAGAGGACAAATCATGTGTGAGAGGACAAATACCTTTAATATCAGAAAGTTCTCTGATACTAAGTGATATATTTTATTTAATAAAGAAAACAATCTTGAATTAATATTGCTTAAATGCATTCAATGCTTGCAAGGATTCTTAGATGAAGCTTTTAGTTTCACTCTACTTAGTGCTGTCCTTGCTGAGATTCTTCAAGAATTAATTGAGTAGTCGTTTTGCTTTTCTGGAAAAACTTGGAGAAAAGCAGTGATATTGTGATACCTGCCATGCTGTGAATGACTCAGAATATCACATGTGAAAAACTAGTTGTGGTTTAACAACTACACATTCATTTATTAACTACCCTGTAAAAGCACTGTGATCACATCTTCTGCCCCCCATATATTGAGCTCTGTGGGAGGGAGACACAGAAATGGAGTCAGTGAAGCACACAAGCTTGATAGCAAAGCCAGCTGTTTGGGGTGCAGCGCTCCTGCACAGAGCGCAGCCTGACATCCCACACCCGTAGGGTACAACAGCCCCCAGCTGCTGCATGACGTTCATAAACAACTGAAGAAAGCCTGAGCTGCTCTCCAGCTCCTCTGGTTTTTCCTTTTTATCACCCAGCTGTGAGTATTCATGCAGACAGTTTTATTGATGTAGAGTTAGTACTGTTTTTGCAGGACAAAGCTCTTAGCATGTAAAAGCTCCTAATGGGTGATACTTTGCATTTGGGTATTTTGGTCAAATTCCTTTCTGTGTTCTTCCCTTCTTTCCTTCCTGCTAGTCCATCTTTATGTTTACAACATTCACATTTGAAGAAAAATATGGATTATGACATAATTGCTGAAAAATTGCTTACTTTTAAGGTTTGGTACAGTCATTGCAAGGAAGTACATATAATGTACATAAGGATCTAATTTTTTAATGACTTGAATTTATTTTATAACTTTTGCATGATTTTGATATTTCCTGTGTAATGGATGGACACATAAGGTGCATATACGGTATATGGTGTATGGCACTGTTCTGAGGGCTTTTTGACACTTTAGCTGGCAGCTGATTCTTTAAGTAATAAAAGACACCCCTCATACTACCCATTCTTCTACATGCTGGCATTAAATCACTAAAATGGTGTAGTATATACTTCTAGATTTCTATATTTCTACTACATCTAGAAATTCACTCCAAATAGTATTGTTAAAAAGTAATTAAAATTTAATCCAGTGTAAGATAGCGCTAGTCTCACAGCTCAGCTTTGTAGGTTTTGAGTTTGTTCATGATTTTTATTGGTTTTCCACTGGCCTTTTTTGATATATACTTTTTATTTTTATTTCATTCTTCAGTACTGCTGAGCACTTTCTCAGCTGGCTTATCTCTGAGTAGGACACTAAGGAGAGAGTTCGATGTAGCAGAAAGAGGTGGTCGCTGCTCCTGACACTTCACATTTTGGCCACAGCCTTCAGGATAAGATTTGACATGTAGTGAAATCTCTGTATCTGTAACAGCTTATAAACCAAATCTTGATGACCCAGCAGAGCTACCAGCTTACATGATCCTTACATTGCAGCACTTGTTTTTTCATGTTTCTTAAAATCCTAACTACTGAATACCTGTGACTGAATGAAAATTTCAACTCAGAATATAAATTTCTAACCTCCATTTTACCACTACTTATCCAAGTCTTCTCCCCAGCCTCCTAGAACTCACTCCAAGGTTGGAAACTCTGTAGGGTGTAATAAGAAAATAGTATTTCAAGAAAAATTTTTCAAAACCCTGCATTAGCTGATACCAAAATATTATTTATTTTAGTACATATTTTTAGACCTTTTTCATGAACGTTTTTATAATCTTAGATTTTTAAATATATTATAGATTGAAAAAATATGTTCACATTGCCCAGGGGTATTTTATCTAGTTAATGGCTATTCCATGAAAAGATGAGGAATTCAAATCAGAGGGGTGTAAATGATATTGTTTGCATCAATATTTTCAGTTCAGCATTTTAAAACTGGTAGAAGATTAGGCAAGCAACAAGTCATCGTAATGTCATTTCATATAATGAACTGAGAAAGCTGATAATTTTATTAAATTTAATTTATAATGTTTAATAAATCCTTCTAATATCGTCATAAGTACGGATTTGATATAGACTAGGAAAACAACTGGAGATCCTTCAGATGCAGAGTTTGCATAATAGCTGTACTTCATACAGTGCTTCATCCCTACTTTCATCCCTACATTAGCAACTTTCACTAAAATCATAGGCTTTAGAGAAAGATTATTTCCTATCAAACTCCTAATTCCTTCACTATTGCAGCTGTAGGTGCAGAACTTCAGAATTTCTTAGGGTATATTCATAGTAATCTGCAGAAAAGTGTAGAGTACACTTTAGAAAATCAAGGCCATCTTGGAAAATTTAGAAATGCCTTGGTATGAGTCTGGACTTCAGATTTCAAAGGAATTACTTCTAATAGACATAGTTGGTTTTATTTTCTTTCTTCTTATTCTCTTAATTTGTACACAGTTTCTTGAATCTCTATCAGATCAGAGAAGCTCTTTGATCTCTAGGATTTACAGACTATGCACCTGGTGTTTGCAAATGAAGCTCTGGAAGTGGTAATAAAGTGGGAAACGTAAGGCTTAATTTTGTTTCTGTAGACTTTCTTTAGGGAGAAGGAAGGAGGGGATGAAGGTGTTTTGCCAAGTTTAGAACAATTGGTTGAATTGAATGTTGAATGCTAAATTACTGTAGGACTTGTCTTACCTGTCACATCCTAGAATGATTCTTGAATGTTCAGTAGAATGAAAATTTTCAGTCTTATGGGTTCTTAGTTTAAAGTTTTTTGCATTTGTTGGCTACTTTTTTTTTCTTTTTTTTTTCTTTCCAGCAGAATTGATAAATCTTTCCAGCAGATCTTGATAAATTTCTTTCTCTTCTTATATCTAATAATAAAAATATTTTGGAAGAGAACAATGAACCTCTTCACCTATCCAAAATCTTTCAAAGTTGCTAACAAGTTTGCTATTTTCTTTCAGCTCTTCAGCTGACTGCAATTTAGTAATAACCTTAAAATCCCTGTGAAGTGAATGGTCAGTTCTTAGAAAAGGATAGAAATCAGCTGCCACTTCTTACATGACCCTTTAGGCTTCAGAACAGAGTTCTGTTATTGACAAAACACTGGGTAATTGTGAGAATAGGGAAAATGAAAACAGTAAAAAGCTATGTGAGAGACAAAGAATATACCAAATTCCTTTTCTTTTTATTCTTTTCTTTCTTTTTCTGTTGTCCTTTTACTCTCTCTCTCTGACCCCTTTTCTAAAGTGAGAAATATATTACTGTAATCAGAAAACTTCAGGTAAATAGTATTTCAGAAATATTTTAGTTCTAGGTTTGATCAAAGTTTTTAGTAAAGAGGCTCTGATATTTGGTGTTATGAATTCCCCTCATTAGCATCATGTAAAGCTGTGGAATCTTCTAGAAACCAGCATTCTGATCTGTAAGATAAATATTTTTTAGTTCTGTAAGCAATACTGTGAATGTGAACATATGGCTAAAACAAATGGTAAAATACCCTTTTTTCACCAGGTCATATCAGCATGAAATACGTGTTCTGTCATTTATAATAATAAAGGGATTTGTTTTATTAAGGAGTTGTTTATTCATACACACTATCCAGCTGCTAATGTCAGTTTATCATTGTGATCTTGTTTTGTTCATTATGTGGCAGCTGGAGGTTTGCTCTCCATGGGCTTGCAGAGGTCACAAGAAGTCTTTCTTGTAATTTGAAAGGCTGTATGCCTTAAAACAAGCTTGACATCTTTCAGAACATGGTCTACTTTGCTATTACAAGACTATTCTACATAGATAGACATTTCAGATATGTTTGTTGATGAGGTATTTTATCTATATCTATGAATCTTTGTACATAGTGCTAAAGATGGAGATTCCTTTCCATCTTCTGTTCTGATTTTCTTGTGGACCCTTAAAAAATCTGTCCCTCTTGTCAAACACAGTTTAGAGTTTGGGGTTTATTTTAATGATTTATTAGAGTGCTAAAATGAAGCAGTGGGATTAACTAATTACATGACTAAGCAACTTCATTTGTATTTTTCATGCTTGTTATTTTTCCTTACAGATATGAAACTCATTTGAAACTGACTGAAACTCACAAACACTTAAAATGTGACTACTTCTTTCAGGAAAGATCCAATCTGGAGGAATGACTATGTGTGATGTCAGTTCCTTTCAAAGGAACATGATAAAGGATTTATCTAGCTAAAATAGGAGGTGAAAATGAGTCAATTTTATTATCCAGATATCTTTGATAAGAGTCTCTGAATGCTTGTGCATATACACAAAGTTAACGATATTATTTTTAGAGATAAGTTGCAAATGAGAGAGACTTTGAGTTTTGTTTAGGAAACAGATGTAACTTCTATAATTTTTTTTTTTACTTTTCACATTTAGGAAGATCAGGGTTTTACATTTTTCCTTTTTATTTTGCCTTAAGGGCAGGAAGAACTGGAATGAGGCATATCATAATTTCCTTTTGTCCAGATGAAGGAAAACATGTAGGCTGAAGGGGATCATTTGAAAATAACCTACAATTTCAGTGGAGAAATGAGTGAATTTCCCATTCAGTTATTAAGAAAGGGTTGTTTTACTGCAGGGGGATTTAGAAGATGATAGGATCACTTGTTAGCATAAAATTAAAATTTATACTTACTAAAAATACTCCATGTGGGGTTTTAAAAGCCTGTATGAACTGTATGAACAGTATGAACTGTTTTCAGATGGATTTTGGTACAGACTTGATAGAATTTTCACACAACTATGGCAACACAGGGGAAAGAAGAGGCTTTTCTCCTGCGTAAACATCGATCAACTCCTCTCTCTTCTTGAACTTTGTTTATTCAGCCCACTGGGGCCAATCTCTTACATACTGTAACAGTTTTCAGCATTTTCCATCTCTTCTATTTTGAGTTGTTTGATTCTGTTGAGCTCAGTTGTACGTCCTGGCAAGAGCTTTAAAGATGATCTTTATATTTAAACTGTTATGAGGAATATGTCCTCAAGGAATTAAGCACATACATTTCAGTCTAACACTTGACTGAGACACTCTTCATCATCTCCTAAAATCTCTGTCCTTGCCCCCATTTTAACTTCTAGAGAGTGAATTAACTTGGTGACCTAATGACTTAGCTTTTTAATAAACATTTGGATACAATGACATAAACCATCAAGACAGGCTTATAGCCAATAAAAAGATTTCTTGAGATAAAGTTTATATATCAAAAGCAGCTGGTTTTCCAAGACATACCTCTTTCTAATTATTCTCTCTCTAATTATTCCTGTTAATGCAAATCTAGACAATAAGATAATAGATATGCTGTCCTATAAAGTAGAATGAAAATAGGCCTATAATATTAATGTTCTTTAAGTTCCAAGAGTAGAGAGTAAAAAATTGATTTGTTAAACTTAATTCATGTTTAAAAAACATCATTAAACAATTCAAGTTTATTTGTCTTCTAGCTTGAACAGTGTGAGAAAACTAGCTTATATTTTCCTGATTTTTATTCTTATTTTTAAAGAAATTATCTATTTCTCTATTTGAGACAGAAAGTTTGCATGAGGACAATCATAATTTTTGTTCCAGGTCCACATTTATTCCAAGTATGTGACTATAATGATGTAAAACACTTAGCAATACATAACCTGGATTAACATTTACGGATCATTCTTAACAATAAACATATCTTATATTTCCATTATCCACATTTTTCAGATTTTTATATGCATCATTCATTATTCCTTCAATAAAGCAATGGAGGGAACAAACATATTTTTTGTTGAACACCATTTCATGTGGAATTCTGAGCATACATTTTTTTAACATTGTGTTAAATTGTTTTGTAACAGATGGCTCTAAAGCCAATTGAAGAACATGTACTTGGAGTAAAACTGTTCTTCAAACAATACACAAATGTTATATTTTTTGGACAGATTAATTTGCTATTTTAAAAGTATGTGCATACTAACATTCATGACAATGATTAATCAAGTTTACATAAGAGTTTTAGGGTAGAAGATCAGTCATGTTTATCAATCTCGTGCTAATAGCATTCCTTAGTATTCCAGCTCTTTTATGTCCCTGTGGTAAGTCTTTATTCTGGTAAACTTCTCACTCATATGGTTTTATACTCATGAGTGAATAATTAGCAATGAACCTGCATAAAATACACTCAAGTTCTGTCCCCCTTTTTCTGACTTTTTTTTTCCTTAGTAACTATTCAGTTTTAGTTTTTCTTGATAAAACTTTTCTCCTGAAAAATTTCATAAGTTCTGAGATTACCTTTCTTTCTGAAAAAGAAGGGACTTAGCAACTTACTCTTCTCTTTATGAAACACTATTTTGAAATGAGGCATCTCACACTGTTTATGTATTTCTATATTATATACTGGCTTTAAAGTCAAGAAATCTGCCCTGATATTGTCAGATGTCTTTGTGCTCTTGGAAGTTCTTTACATGCTTGACTCCGTGTCCATAACAATGTTCTTAGTGACATAATAGTGTATGTGCACATATAAAAATGTTGTGATACTGAAATATAATGCTGAAAAAACCAATCCTATTATTCTATTTTCTTGTTGATAGTCTCACACGAACTGAACAGACAAAAAAAGCCAATAAGCTATTTTCATTGTTTCTTTCGTGATGCAACTAATCAATCTCAAATTATTCACCTATGTAAACTGTAATTTTTAAATCAGTCTTTTAACAGGTCTGAAAAAAAGACTTCATCAGTTTTATACTGCCCTCCTTGAATTTAGTAGGTTAATGTAAAAAAAAGAAATCTCACTATCAAAGGCACTGTACCCATAACAACAGAGAATTTCAAAGGAAATCTGTGTCTTCCATCTCTGGCTCAGTAAAGTATATTATATAGTACTGCTGATTTATAACTAACAGTTCTTAGATCTTTTAACTAGATTCATTGTAACTTGGCTATCTTCCAGTATCATTGAAATACAGCAAAAAGTATCAGTAAGTATTCAGTACTGCTCTTAGAGAATGTCCTCAGGAAATTACTATTAATAATATTTTTATACTACCAGTCTGAACTATTATTATCAAATAATTTATATGAATTAAGAATCTTAAATGTAAATGCAGCTGCTTGTTACCTGGCTCCTACTGCTAGTATCTCACAACTTAATTGAGAAAAAATCCCCTTTTGTTGTGAAAGGAACTGCTAATTGCAGTATCATTTATACATACAAAACTTAGGTGAACTTTACTGTCTTCAGAAATTGTTATTGGTCAAGGAAAAATGATTTTGTAAATAACTAGGCAAATCCTAAACTGGTATTCATAAAAAACAAATGGAAATAAAAATATGTTTCTAATAGCCATGTCTTCTCAGCACAATTAAAGCAAGAGACAAAACATTGTAAACAACTCTTTTATCTGCCAGAATGAATTCAGAGCAATTATCTTCTTTTATTACAGAAGACACCACAAACAACGAAAGCAGCAGCACAAGTTTGCTCTTTGTATTTGCTTTGCATGTTAAAGATGCCATCAAAACCAAACCACAAAAAGATCAAGCAAGAACCAGCAGAACAGAAAACAGCAAACAGACTTTTAGATTTTGATATTTAAATGAAGGAGGAAATTATTTTAAACTGTTTGGCTTATGAATGTATTTTAAAACATTCATTAGTGATTCTGTATTTGACTAAAAGTTGTAGATACTGTACACTTTAGATCAAAATTACTTAATTTGCTTTGACATTATATTTAATAGAAAGTTTAATGCCCGAAGATAAAAACAGAAAAAAAAAATACTTTGAAAGCATAGAAATAAAAATGTATGCACCTTTCCAGATAGGTAAGGTTAACCCTGGCAATACTGAGGTAGGTTGGGGAGTTCAAGCAAGTATGCCCTCCCTTTGACTAATTTCAGTGTCCCTGTTGTACATTCCCTACAGAAGGAACTCAGTGCAGAAACAACCCCAGGAACTTGGGCCAGAGGCACATGGGCCCAGTTCAATCTGTTAATGCACTCTCTGCTGCAGCTGCACCATATCACTAAATAAACAGATCAGGATGAGAAGGAGATGCCAGCCACAGCAAGAAGAAAAGAGGAAAACAAAGAAGTGACAGATACCCATAAACAGCTATAGAACGCTGCTTATTTTCTTATTCAAGTTACAGAACCATTGGAAAACAGTGCTACAGGGCTACCTATACCCATTTTATGTACAAGAGAGGTCCGAATGGGAAGTAGCTGGGAAGTATTCAGTGTGGGAATTATTGATTCAATAGATACTCAGAGTGCTACTTCAAAGGACTGGTACTTACTAGCATATCTTCTGAAGGTGTAATTACTGAGTACCCAAGAAATTTACGTATTTCTTTTTAGTTTAAATTATTCAAAGTGAAATGACAAATATACAGGGCATAAGAACATTAGGCTTTGGGCATTGGTGCTGGACAGCAGCCAGGTAGGAAGGGATCTGGGGCTACTGATTGACAACAGCTGAACACGAGCCAGCTGTACCCAGGTGGCCTAGAAGGCCAATGGCATCCTGGCCTGTATCAGCAATAGTGTGGCCAGCAGGAGCAGGGCAGGCATTGTCCTCCTGTGCTAGGCACTGGTGAGCCTGCACTTCAAGGTCTGTGTCCAGTTCTGGGCCCCCCATTTTCGGAAGGATGTTGAGATGCTGGACCAGGTAACCAGTGGCAGGAGAAGAGGACACAGCCTTTCTCAATAGCCTTCTGTGCCAGGGAAAGTTTAGGTTGGACTTTAAGAAGAAGTTCTTCACAGGAAGAGTGACTGGACATTGGAACAGGCTCCCCAGGGAGGTGGTGGAATCACTGTCCCTGGAGGTGTTTAGGAAAAGACTGGATACAGCACTCAGTGCCATGTTCTGGTTGACAATGGTGTTGGTTCATAGGCTGGACTTGATGATCTCAAAGGTCTTTTAAAATGCAGTTGTTTTTGTGATTCTGTGGATATTAACATATAGCTTAAACATTTTTAAACTTAGGAATTTACACACTAATTGTGGTCTACGTATGTTGTCAAATTCAGTTTCAGCAGTGCTTTATACAAGACAAAAATCACAGTAAAAGGTTTATAGATAACTTCTGTTTGAAAAACAGTTATTATTTTTTATTTTTTGTTTTTACTCACAGTTTTCAAAACCTGCAGATACAGGTTCAGTTGGACATGGTAGGGAAACGTTGATGACCAATGTTTTCTGAATTCCTTAGGACTGCGTATTTCTGCACCTATGTATTTTCAAATAACTGGGATTTCAACTTTATGAAGATAGGCACACTTGTGGTAAAATAAAAAAACAACAAATCTGTTATTTTTCAGGTATAGAATCAATTTAAAAGAATTGTTAAAATTCACTACATACATAATAAAATTATGTAATTTTATCCAGTAATCCAGAGGCAATGGGTATGTTAAAATCACAAGGGAATAGGACTATGGGTATTTAACATAAAGCAGTAGATAAGAAATACACAGGAGAAAGCTTAAATGTAGCTAAAGTGTACCCAAAAAAGGCACAGTGGAGTGTCCGAGAAATGTGTGATTCTATATCCCAACAGATCAGCTGACTAAATGATTTAATATGTTCACCTCTTTGCTTATGCATTCTCATGAAGCCACACGAGAAATGCAACAGAATTTATATGCACGTAAATGCATTTTGAAGTAAAATGAAATAATTTGTGAAAGTGAGCCTTCTCATCAAATGTCAGTACTCTAACATATTAAAGGAAAGAAAAAAATTCATGCATTTCCTTACAAGGAAACTTGGGATGGGACGAAATTTCCATTTCTAACACCTTTCCTAGTCATATATGGTAATACAGTTATCCTTGCAAATTTGAGTGAACTCCCATGTCTTTTGCCAGCAGAGTTGCGAAACTTCCAAAGGCATAGCTATTGGCTCCAAAACAAGGTGTCGATATTTTACCCTGTACCCTGCATTTACAGATTCAGCCCCTGTGGCACACTGTTTTTATCAGTCCATGGGGTCTGTGGACAAGGGTGAAGCACTTTTGGGGCCCAGGTGAATTACTGGGTTGTTCTGCAACTCTCATCTGCTCCTGTAAATCCTGCAATATTTGAAATTGTCTCTCTCTGAAGAAATACTGCTTTTTGCTACACCAGTTTGTCCACAGCAGGCTTCAGTGCTATCAAGCACTATTACGTATCCAAGTGTCGACACTGAGGCCCAATCTGGATTGCTAAATAAGAGAGACCAGGCCCACATCCTGGCTCCAAAGCCAAGTAGCAAAGTCTGGGTTGAGTACACACATCTTGACTTTTCCTGTCTGCAGGTAGGTCCCCTGAAAGAGGACAGTTACTCTAGAGTCCTCCCAACAGGAATAGTTTCTGGAGTTTGGTATCCCCCAAATTACGTTTGGGAAAGCACAGGCTGGTCTCAGATAAAACTGTGCCAGGGAATGTCCTAATGACAAAGCAATACAGGCAGGCAAGCAATGGAGAAAACTCACACCCTTCCTTCTTTTTGCCTTTGGGATCTTTGAAAGCTTGTGAGGTCCTGGTACAGGACTCCCCCAAGGCTGGCCGTTGTGGAAAGGGCAGGATCTGTTGGTTTGCAATAAGTTGATTAAGAGCAGTTTGGACCTCAATTTGAATGATGATCTTCTTATAAAGAAAAGTAATTTGTACCTATTGAAATATAGATATATAATGAAAGACAATAAAATATTTTCCAGTGGTAAAGCAGATTTGAATAAGTTTCTATACCTTATGTGTCAATTCTAGGAGTTATCTAGTCACCAGTTGATGTTAGGGATATTTTCCTGGGTAAATTTCATGAAATAGGTCTCAATTCTATTTCTTTAGCAGGTCTGGACCTTCAAATTTGTTGAAAATTTCATTACCATTAATGGGACTATTCCTATTTTCAAAGTTATGAACACTACTGATATGATACTACTCAGTATCTTCCATATATACCTCTGCTCTCACCATCTTTTGACATTGTCAGCTGTACTTGGTAGCAGGTGCTGTGCTATTTAAAACAGAGGTGGAAAATTAAACCCACACAAAATGCCCCCTTTTCCCCCTGCTCCTTTCAATAAGGGAGGAGCAGTAGAAGAGATTATAAATTGGAATCACAATTTACTGAAAATCACAATAATCACAACAGTTGTAATAAAAAAGAGTGTACAAAAGAAAGAGGGTGTTTTAACCACCAAAGGGTATTCACCACTGAACAAACAAGAGTTTTTGTGGCTTAATGCCTGCATCCATCTCCCTTCACACCCTTCAGGCCAGGAAAACAATGAGCTGCATCAAACAAACCCCCTTGGAATTGAGATCATCCCTGTTGCTCCACGTGCTCTCCTTGGATGAGTCCACTCCATCGGTTTGACTCTGTGCAGCTGCCTCCAGCACCAGCACCACTCCACTTGGCTCTGCTGGGGCTTGGGCTCCACACAGCTCCACTGTGCCACTGCTACTCTCTTTTCTTTCTCAGAGTGGCATCTCAGGCTTGCCATCGTTGTTTTTCAGCACAAAAGCACAAAAGCTGTGGTTCAGAGGAACAGGAAAAGGAACCACTAGTGGCAGAGAGGGGCTAGGCCTGCAGGGGTGACCCAGTGCCTTTTCCTATAGAAAACCAGGCAAAAATGGCCAACTTTCAATTTCCAGCCTGTTTTTTTTTTTCCCCATGGGAAGATTGCTTCCCCAGTAGTGACATGTGTGGTAATAAATACACTGCATTGAAAGCTGCACCCCCCTGCCTCTGTACTCAGGACAGGTCCATATTTGCATTACAGGTTCTTGACACTGTATGTCCAGATAGCCAAGCTCATAAAAAGAAAAAGAATATTCTTTCATCCAGGCTTGTTAGTTTGTATTCCATGTTCAAGATACATGAGACTTCAACTAGGAAATAGGATGTGATGTGAAAGCCATGAGCAAAACTCACAAAATATCAGACCAGATAAGCAGTGAGTGCTGTACAGATATTTTTGCAAAAGTGGAAGGCATCTGTAAATATTTCTCAAAGAGAACAAAACCACAACATGCAACAGAGAATTTATATGTGACAACATTCTGAACAGATCTAATAAAATTTACCTTCCTTCAACAAGAGACATGCTATTGCAATGAACTGGTTTGTAAGCAGATGTAAAGAAAAAACATTTATTAGTGTTGTAGTAATTGGTGCTGATTTAATTTAGGTGTAACTTGTGGGAAGCAAAGGCACTTCTTTTCACTCCAAAATCATTGGTTTATAAAACTCTGAACGGATTTTTATTCTTCTTCTCATTTTGCACACTGAAATCTTCCTCCAAATAATATGTAGTGTAGGTATTTCTTTTCCTCATCTTAAGGACTGCTTAAGAGTCTGCGACATTAAAACTATCTCTAGGCACATTTTTAGCCTGATTTCCTGAGGCAACAAGGCTTAGGCAGTCATGCTGTCTGTGTGTCTGTGTTTCTCTCACTGGTACCCTGGAGTCCCTTGGACAGTTTCAACAAAATTTGACAAACATGGGAGTTTTCAAAGATATTTAGCTCTTTCAACCAGCCTGCACAAAATATTGCCCTGGGGCCTCATTCAGGCTCCAGAGCTGTTTGTTTGATCCATCAGAGTTGAGTTGTTCTGTTTAGCCTCACCCAGCAGCCAAGAAATAGGAACTAGGCAGGCAATAAGCTCACAGAGAGTTGCTGGTCAGTTGGCACGGCTGCATTTTCACAACGCCACAGTGTGTGATACTTCTAGCTGAGCTGATAGGTCAAGAAAAAATTGATAGGGACCTGAAATTGGCAGACTCTTGCAGGAGTATGGACATAGCTGCACAGAAATGCAAAACACTTAACCATTCTATACAATAAATACTAAGTAGAAAGCCCCAAACCCCAAAGAAACCAAATAAAAAAACCTCTAGAATTTTATTTGTCACAGAACTACTTAAGTGATGAAACAAAACACAGGGTTCAAGACTTGCCACCTGTCATGGAGTTACTTTACCTTTAAGGGAGTTGGAGTTGCTGGGAAGTGCTTGGAGTCTTTTCTCCTGACCAATTATCGGTCATTTCTGGGAATTGACAGCAGTTTAGGCCATTGAAAAGTGGGATCAACTTGTGAACCCTACCTTAAAATGTAAAAGCAGAGCTCTCTGGGTTCTCTTTGTTTCTGGCTGTGGAGGGTGGCGGAGCTCCAGGCCTCCCGTCCCTGCCCAGGCCATGCGGCCGGGCGGGGATGGGGCCGGGCCGAGCCGATCTCTGGCTCGGCTGCAGGTTTTGCTGTAACTAATTCACTAGAAACTGCCCAGTGAAGAAAGAGAGAGGCTCTGGACTTGCAGCGGGTTGGAGCAGCGACCACACGCTCCAGAGCAGCCATGAGGAACTTTCCATCACAGACGGCTCCAGCTCCTGTTCGGCAGAGATCACAGAACCATCTACAAAAGCCTGGGCAAGATTTTAACTCTTTCATTACCCAGATGAGACTTGCGGATTAATCTTTTTATCCAGAGAGAGAGAGAGAGAGAGATCAACATGAAAAGAGACTTTATAAACTACCAGTGACAAGAAAGAAAAGAAGCTTCAAGGAAAGGTAGAGAATTAAGAAGATGCTTTAATTCAGCTGAAATATCTCCCTGTTAAAACTATGGAGATGGACAATGAAGTCCTGAAAAGAACTCCTTTAATTCATGATATAAGATCTAGAGAGGAATAGTGTTCAAAGCGTAAATTTGAGTAAAGAGTAATTATAGTATAGTGAAGTACTGAGAGATTAAAAGCCTTGAGAGGCCATGAGAAAACTGTTGAGAGATTTGAAGCCCTGAGAGGCCATGAGAAAACTGTTTTCTCGTGAAGCTCACAGAAACAGATGAAGAAGACTTTTTTTTGCCTTTGAATAACTTATCTTTAAAAATGTTATCTCTAGACACATGGCCCATACTTACTTCAGAGTGATGTGAAAATAGGAAGAGTGAACTCTAATAATAGCAGCTCTGAGCAGCTAACATTAGGGCAATAGAAAACTATAACAAAAATAGTTTTCTTGTGAGAAACTCCATAACTTAACAGGAAGAAACTTCTGTTTCTCTATAAAGACTGATGAACATACTAGCAAGAATTAGGACTGTTTTAACCATCAGAGTTCCAGAGTTTTTGTCTCTGTTGTCATGTGAACAAGAGAATAGTAAGTGGATAAGAGATGGAAAGGTTTTTCTGGAAGTTTATTCTGGTGTTCTTATTATTGTGGTTTGTCAATAAACTTTCTTTTTTTTTCCTTTTTAAGTTGTATGCCTGTTTTGCTCTTATTCTAATCCATATCTCACAGCAAGAAGTAAATAATTTTCTTAGTTAGTGGTTTAAAACCACGACAGAGAGCTTCTTCAAAAGCCATAACTCGAGTCTGTGTTCATTCTCTCCCACTGCCTTTCAAGATTACGATAAAGAATAGTAATTTAGAATTAATTCAAAGCTAAGTGATTTGGGTTGCTTTTCTCCAGACCTGATCCCTGACTGCAACAATTGTGTTTAGCTCTGTCTCCAACAGCTGAATTCCTCTGCATTTTACATTTTTAGGGTGCAGTGTGATGGTGAGCAACTTGCCCAGCTCTTCTGAAGCTCACATTTAATGGTGGGTACAAAAACTTTGAAGTGAAATCTTTAACTAAAAACCCCCAGCATTTTGAAATCTTTTCCCATGTCAGAGTTGAAACACTACTATTTTCAAAATGGCTCAGTAATTCTAGTAAAAAGGAGGAAGCAAGTAATGACTACAAGTTATTATTCTGGAAACTTTCCAATGCTGCTGCTTAGAAACTGTTTTTTAAGAGATATACTTGGAATTAGTCCTTGCATTACAAGTAATACAGTCACCTCAGTGATGGAAGTGCAAATTATCAAACTAAGAAGCAAAAATGAATATATTTTTAACAGTTTATATAGTCACTGTAATCCATAAATGCATGCAGATATTCTGTAAAACACTGTTGTATGTTACAAACACACAGCTAAAATGTTCTTTCTTTAAATCATCTTTGCATCTGTATTCTCAATATCAGAAGAAATATGTTTAGTTCTGTTTAAACTATAAGAAATTAG